CCATAAAAAAACAGTGGCGCCACAGTACTCCCCCCCAACTTAAGAGGAACACCCAACTAGGCTGGGAATTCTAAGGGGTGGGTTTTTTTTGCCCCCCCAGTCGAGGTCAATGTCGGCATGACGTGCGCCTGTATCCCCACTTTGAAGCCCCTCATCATCAAGATTCTTCCCGCCATGATCATCGATCCCAACGGCACGCGGCACAGCGACAGCAATAAGGAGGACTCTCTCAACAGCCCCGTCCGGGATCGCCACGGCAGCGATGGGATCGTCCCTCCGGAAGCATCCCCTCACGCCAACCCGGCCGGAGCTCCGAGTGCAGAGAACTCAGGCGCTGCCGGCATGACCGCTCTAGATTTCCTGACGGTGCCGTCCGGCATGAACGCAACGGGCGACGACGCTGACGGCGATGACCCGCTGCAAAGAGTCCGCACCGCCCGGACTGTGTCCACTATGGGTACACAGCAAGAGAATATGCTGTACTTTGGCTTCGTTAACATGAAGAGGCCGAAGAGCATGATCAAGTGCAACGCGACCGATTCTTTCCGCTACTGCCTCATGGTCACCGTACTTTTCCTTCTCTGGGGCATCTCGTACGGACTGCTCAACACGCTTAACAACGTCGTCTCAGCCGTCTCGGGTATGTCCGTCGCCGAAACGCTCGGTCTCACCAGCGCCTACTTTGGAGGTGGTTACTTCTTTGGCCCTTTGATCGTGGGTGAGTGGATTTTGCGACGCGATGAACACCACAGGGTTCACAGGAAGAAGAACAACAGCTCCGCTGAGAGCGTGGGCGGATTCAAGGCCACTTTTATGGTCGGTCTCTGCTTTTACGGCGTCGGGACCATCATTTTTTGGCCGTCGGCCGTCATGAAGTCTTGGGGCGGCTTCCTGCTCAGCAACTTTGTTGTGGGGTTCGGCCTGTCCATCCTGGAGACGGGTGCCAACGCATTCTTGATCCTGTGCGGACCGGCGCAATACGGCGAGACACGGCTCTGTCTCGCGCAGGGCATCCAGGCCGTCGGCAGCGTCCTCAGCGGACTGCTGGCGCAGAAGGTCTTCTTCACGGACATTGACCAAGACGGCTACACCAGCTCGCTGACGCTGCTCAATGTGCAGTGGACATATCTAGCCATAACGCTCCTCTGCGTCGCGCTCGCACTCTTCTTTTACTACATGCCGCTCCCTGAGGTGGGCGACGCCGAGCTGCAGGAAGCTGCCGATCGCCTCCCGGTGAACACGCAACGACGAACGAGCTTCTTCGGCTGGCAATTGCGCACCGTGTCGCTCGTCCTCGCCGTCATGGCGCAGTACACGTACATTGCGTGCCAGGAGTCCAACTCAATCTTCTTCCGATCTCTCCTCATCTCGCTGCTGCCGAAGCAAGAAGAATCGGGAGCCGGTGCGGCCAATGCCGACACGAACCCAGGCGAGGACTCGAACCGGCCGCCGGGACTCCATCTCGGCATCCCGGACTACGGGCTCGTCGCGCACACGGCGTTTGCCGTCTCGCGCTTCCTCGCAGCGTGGCTGACGTACATGGCGGTCAAGCACACTCGGTTTCCCAAGCCTCGAACACTGCTCGGTATCTCGGTCGCGGGCTCATTTGTCATGGCTCTGTTGACGGTGGTGCTCCGACCGCGGAATCCGAACCATCTCATGATCCCGGTGATCCTGTTCTACTTCTTCGAGGGCCCGTGCTGGCCGCTGATCTTCGCCATTGGGCTGCGAGGCCAGGGCCGACGCACGAAGCGGGCAGCTGCCTTTATCACGATGGGTGGATCGGGGGCTGCCTTCTTCCCGTTTGTGCTGTGGGCGATTGTGGAGCACGGCGGACGGGTGCAGCTGGCGTTTGTGGTGATTGTGGCACTCTGCGTGTTGACGTTTGCGTACCCGCTGTTCCTCGAGTGCGTGCACGACGCGAGGATCATGACGGACCCGAGGAACACGGTCGTGCTGAGCGGCGGCAGCCGCGTGGCATCGCGGACGGGACACCGACGGGACGGCAGCGGTTTTTTCCACGAGCACGGTGCAGCGGCGAACGGGCACGACGCGGACGAGGAGCACGCGGATGCGCACGGACACGGCGGACGAGGGCTCGGCATCAAGGAGAAGGGCGTCCGCTTCGCAGACATGCTGGGGGTGCACCTGGGCGGCAAGAAGCGCGAGGGCAGCCAGAACTCAGGCGCGCCGCACGTGGAGCAATACGAGGGCGAAGGCGAGGGCGGAATCCAGCCTAGTCGTCAGCAGCAAGACGAGCAGCCGCAGCCGCAGCCGCCTTGGTCGCAGACAGAACCTCCTGTATGAGGAGGAAGGGGGCATGGAAGGGAGGCATTGATTGATCATGGGCATGGGACAGCGAGCGATTTGATTTTGAGCCTCGTTCTTCAAGGGACGCTTGGAGCTTGGAGGCGACAGGGAGGGGGACCAGGAGTCGATTTTTCGTTGCATGATATACCCGGGAGCCGATGATGCTCACAGTGGCAGCCGGCAGCAGGCTGTTTGTAATGTAGTGTCTCGATAGAAAAACAAGACGCTCACCACTGGTTGCTGTAGGGGGACATGTGCTGTGAAGGTGAAGGTGGGTGGTGGGTTTTGACATGTGGCTGTGTTGAAAGGGATGGATCGTATCGTGGCTGGTTGCATGCCTGCTGCCATTCTGGGGCAAATTGGATGAAGGTGTCCAGGTTCCTACCTACCCACATGGTAGGTACCTATGTAGGTAGGTAGCTATGTAGGTAGGTACCTATGTAGGTAGGTGGTAGGTAGGTACCTAGGCAGGTGCAGTGAAAATAAAACAAGGATTAAGGCACAGTGCCAGTGCCGGGCAGTGGCAGCGGCTGTCTGGGCCAACAACGATGCATGTTGGTGAGGAAATGGAAGGGAAGGCAGGCACCTTTTTGGGAACCTCCTGACTTGTCAGCGACGACCCATGTTCTGTTGTTCACTTGGACATCGCCATTTGCCTCTCTCCCTCTCCCTCTCTCTCCCTCTCTCTCTCTCTCTCTCTCTCTCCTCCCCACCCCCTCCTTCTCCTCCTCTCCTCTCCTCTCCCGACATTGCTCTCTCCTCGCGCACCGTCGAGACGCTTCGGCTCCTGTCGACTCGACGTCAATTGGACCCCCCCGCGAGCCCTCCCTCCTACCGAGCCATCCGACTTGTACTTCCTCCACCTTGTCTTGTCTGCACGACATCTGTCGAGATAGACAGATAGACAGACAGACGATTCTTTCCTTCGAAGACCGACGACGACGACGACGACAATCCTCCCTCATGATCGCTCGTCGAGTTTTCGACTAGACCCTGCGCCTGCGCCTGAGCCTGAGCCCGAGTCGGAGCTGAGCCGACTCGACTCGACTCGACTCGACTCGACTCGACTCGACTCGCCTCGACCTCGTCTACACACACACACTCTCTCATACACCCCATTCGCATGACGATGCGCATACCGTTACCCAACAGCATCGCGGCATGTCGGCCAACGCGCCGCATGGTGCGGGCCATCATCACATGGATCCTGCTGACGGGTGTGTCCGTCTTCATCCTCATCAGCGGCTACCTCTTCCACGACGACATCCACTCCAAGAGCACCCGCTACCTCAACGGCGGCGCCGCCGACTACTTCAAGGTTCCCTACAACTACAGCGCCGCCGCCGACTACCACGTCATCGACTGGCTGATCCACGAGGCCCGCGCCAACCACGAACGCCTGCTTCACAAGCGCGCCCTCACC